ATGGGGAGAAAACCTTGTGTATGGAAGCTACGGAAAAAGCCTATTTTTGCTATAAATATATAATGTTTGACATGGATGCATGCTTCATTTCTGGCAAGTGTTGGGACGGGGATCCAGACAGTTGCTCTGAAGTTAGGACAGCAATGCCTGGCTGACCACAGGCTGAGATGACTCCAGGCCATGATGGGGAGAAAACCTTGTGTATGGAAGCTACGGAAAAAGCCTATTTTTGCTATAAATATATAATGTTTGACATGGATGCATGCTTCATTTCTGGCAAGTGTTGGGACGGGGATCCAGACAGTTGCTCTGAAGTTAGGACAGCAATGCCTGGCTGACCACAGGCTGAGATGACTCCAGGCCATGGATGGACGAGGTGTGGGTGCCGCTGGTGTGGGTGCTGCTGCTGCAGCTGAGGACGAAGCGTTTTGGTCACACTGGGTGAGCAAGGCCAGAAACCAGGACCAGCTCTTTCCCCAGCCACCCTGCAGCACGGACTGGAGGAACCTGTGCTTGTACTGGGCCATCACAACTGGTGATGGGCAGTACTGGCTGTGCCAGTACTGGTGCCTGTGCCAGGATGACCAGTGCTGGGACAGCTCCCACCAGGCTTGGCTCCACAGCGCTGAGCCAGGCACTGCTGTGCCATCCTTTAGACCCAGCGAGGGCTGGGCACAGATCAGGGCAGCAGGGTGTCCCACTCCCCGTCAGGTGCAGCATTCATTAACCTGCCAGCCTTTCTCCTGCCCCTGCGAGAGCAGCTCTGTCCCCTCCAGGGTTGGGACGAGCAGCAGCAGCAGCCAGTTCTCTGTAGGGTCACTGCTCCCAAAGCAAGCAGCGCACCCGCAGCTCTATGCAGCTCAGGGCTGGCTCCTGGCAGGCTGGGGTGAGGGCATGGATCTGCTTCCCAGAGGAATAGGTTGGAGTCCCCAGAGATGTCATGGGGAGCTTCAACCCCAACTACAGCGAGAACATCTGCTATGTGAGCAAGCTGCTCCCTGGAGAGAGCTTTGACCACCTCAGGGAGAGCAGCAGCCACCTGCCAGTGATGCCCTTGGCCGTGGCCACCCCTCATGAGCACAGCCCCTACAAGAACAGCTATGTGGAAGTGTGACACACTCCTGCGCTCTGTGTGCTCTGCACCCCTGTTGCACAAAACCTCTCTGCCAGGCAGGCCTCACTCCCTGCTCCCACCCTGCCACCGCCAAGTGCCCAAAACCCCCAGTCCTGCTCCCTGCCACCGCCACGTTCAGCCCACTGTGCCGTAGCATCTGTACAGGGTGCTGGGTGCACTGCAGGGTGTTAGGTGAGCATGGTGTGCTGGGTGCACTGGGCAGAGCACTGGGTGCACTATTTGTTGCACTGGGTGCTCTATGTGATGCATTGGGTGCACTGGGTGCTGGTCTCAGTGCGTTGTAGCACACGGGGAACAGCGTTCCAGTACCTGCCCTGTCCTTGGGGTGTCTGGGAGGGCAGGGTGACATCCCTGCCATGTGCGGGACCCCTCGCAGGGTTGGAAGGGCTGCTGGGCTCCCACACTGCTCTCCTGTGCCCCTCCTGTCGGGTGCACTGGAGTCTGAGGGAGCTCAGCAAGACCCCCTTCATGCTCTGAAGTGCCTGCAAGCTCACCCAGGGACATGTCCTGGGGCAGCCCAGGGGCACAACCTTAGCTGATGCCAAGCCCTTAGCTGATGCCAAGCCCAGCTGTGGCTAAGCTGGCCAGGAGCCACTGGCCAACCCACAGAGACACTGGGAGTGAGGAGCACCAAGAGGCAGAGGGGCTAAGTCACTGCCTCACCCCTGACCCCAAGAGCACTGCAGGAGCCAAGCCGTGACCCCAGGGTCTCGCTGCTCGTTTGCCTGTGCCCTGGGTTTCCCACTGAATCAGAGCTCTGCTGTGCGGGCGGCTTGTCTGGACTCGCCCTGCAGGGTCACAAACGCTGTGGGGTGGGGTCCACTCCACTGTCCCAGCCCCATGGTCCCCATGGCAGCATGTTCATCTGCATCAAGCATGGGAGTGAGTCCCCTCCTGGCTTACCTACGGGTGCCTGCTCCCCGGGCATGGAGGGTACGTGCCCTGGCCCTCAGCCACTGCTACTCTCCCTGCAGATGACCAGAGCTTTCTGGCCAACACCAGCTGTGCCATCCTGCGGCTGCTGTCCTATGTGAGGAAGATGGTGGGGGTCCCCAACACCGGTGAGCCCTGGCTGCAGGGCTGCAGCTCCCCTCTGCACCTCAGCAGCAGTACCAGCGCTGCATCTCATCTCCAGTGAGATGCTGCACAGGCTCCCCACGGCGTGGGCACACCCGTGAGGTGGGGGTTTTCAGCAGCCCACACGCTTTTCCAGACGTCATTGACCTGTGTGACGAGCGGGGCATCCTCAAGCTGCTGTTCCAGGTGACCAGTCCCAGCATGAGTGCCAGCGAGTTCCTCCAGGCGTGCAGCATCTACTATGCGTGCTGGGTGGAAATAGGAGCTTCTGGTGGGTGTCTGGGCAAGTAGGACCTTGGTCCCTGGGGGTCCTGGCAGTGCCCAGGATGGTGGGGCACAGTGGGAAGGAGTGACCACAGAACTATCCCACAGGGACCGAGGAGGAGCAACGTGCTGGTCCATCACACTCCTCCTGGAGCGCCCCAGCTGGGTGCTGACATGGGGATGGGGATGGGGAGCAGCCAGGCAGGTGGGCACAGGCGTGGGAGGACAGTGCTGAGGCTGGGGGCTTTTGTCGAGTCCCCAGCCTCGTATCTGGTGGCAGAGGCCCTGCAGCTGCAGAGTGAGTACCAGCGTAGGAGGCAGACCGAGGCCTCAAAGATG